AATACAGCTTCCCTTCTCACAGGAGCGTAAGTCGTCTCCCAGGATCTTCTTCTTTTTCTCACCTATTCATTAACTACAGCTTATCTCCAGAATTCTTACTGATAATATTAGAAAACAAAGGACATACAGGTGTCCGACTGAAAAGCAATCAACTTAGGGAGGATGAGAATCTTAAAGACTACTCCTTTCATAAACCTGGGTTGACTTAGTGCTATGAGAGGCATGGAGCACCCAGTATTAAATAATTACTTAAGCATCACTGAAAAAATAACAAATATCTACACCATGGAGTCTGCCCAGCAAGTGGGGACTACACAGCTGAAATATACCTCATGAAACAAAGGTGAGAGTACCCTGGACTTTGTGGCAGAGACATATAATGCAGTCTCTTACTAGTGAACTCTATCCTATGGCGGGGACTGTGTTTCTAGGCATTTTCCACCCTGCTACTCAAGCACAAAATGAATGAATGAAAGAGGCACTTACTCTGTAACATGAAAGAAGTCCTTGTTAGTCATCTGATGAGAGCTACTGAAGTGGTGGGTATGTGAATAAAGGAGGAAAAACCCACCAACCACCACATCTCCATCCTTGTACACACTTCTTTTCATTCTCTTAAAGCAATCTAAATGACGAAAAGTATCTACTAAGACAGGCAGCAGCAGGACGAAGTAGATATTAATCAAATGAGACATATTGGAAATTTCTGCAAAGCTCTGTTTGAACTTGGAGCTTGCAGTGTCAGCCAGAAAAATAGCGATGTGCAAATGGATGTGTGTTGTGGCCTGGAGTGGACACACCAGTGACCCTCCCGCACACCCTTTAAGGGACCTGTAACTCCATCTACCCTGGGGCTCTGCATCTGAGGCCCTGTGTCCAGGCAAAAAACACAGATTGGAAAATATGTTACAGCACCATTCGCTCTACCCCCAGGAATAATGATTTCACCCAAGTCCAATAACTGCATAGTCTCACAGGGCACTTTCTCTTGGGAAGTTCTGGTCCCAAGCCTGTGTCAACAATCAATTTTTGTTAAAACTATTTTGGAAGATGCAAGTGGAGAATTGAATCTATGCAAGTAGAGAATTGAATGGATGGTATTTGGTGAAATCATCTCAAAGTGGTCATAATCAGAGGAAAATATTTTATCATCAAGCCCTCCAAAACCCAAGATATCTAACTACAGCCTCACACATCTAGAGTTCGTAATGATGAGAGAGAACGTTTCCTGTGTAGCCCATCCTTGTCTTCCTTCCAGACATACGTGCTGAAGACTCACAGCTGCCAGTCATCCCATTTGTGTAAATAAAAGTTTATACTAAAGTGAGAGATCCTAAGTTAGTAACTGAAGATCTATTCATAAATCAAAGAGGGTTTCTGAGTCACAAAATTTGAAGTCTTCCTCCACTACTCACTTCATTTAAATATGTCACTCTACCAGTTACTGTACTGTGATGACCCATCCCTGTACTTACAGCCTTGGTTTCCTCCACAGTAATTTTAATGACCACATGGGCTTAGTGAGAAATCTCTTTCCTTTCTCAACATTTAGAAAGCTGGACAGCACTCCTGCATTTTGTAACAGAGTAAATAATGTAGACAGTGGTACAAACACCATAACCCCAAATCCACGGCTCTATTAGGAGGT